AAAAAAAAAAAACAAGCAAACCTGTTCCTTTCTTTCACTTTCATTATTTTCTCTTCAGACCTCTCACAAGTTGATAACCTACCTGCCCATGTAATTTGTCACTAAATTTATCTCATACTCCCTCTAGTGGTCATTTAGGAAATCTTTAATAATTATTAATTTCTTTAATTAATGACATGCCTTTAATCTTTTAAGTCATCTTTTTCTAATTTGCTGTAATATTTTATCTGATAAAATTATAACCACTGGCTTAAAAATTTAATACACATATAAAGTTCAAAATCAAGCACAGAATATTGTTTAGGAGTACATATACGTGGGATAAAGCAGGGAAATAATAAAACTTCAGTTTTAGAGGTGGTGGAGGTGTACATAGGTAGAAGTAGTAGTAAGTAGAAGTAGTAAGTAGAAGAATCTCTATGTATCAGTCACTAATTATTTTCTCACTGCTGTGCCCACCTAGAACATACTTTAAAGCAATTGTCAGACATTAGGCCATTTCTTGTATTAATATTTATGACTCTCTAAGAAGAACATTTTTATTTTTACTTATATACCATGCTATTATCACACCTAAAATAATGATACTATTTGGTCTATATTCACATTTTCATGAGAGTCTCAAAAATGTCTTTTTTATTTGTTTATTTGGTCTTTTTGTTTTGTTTTTTTTTGAGACAGAGTCTCACACTATACAGATCAGGCTGGTCTTGAATTCATTTGTAGCCTGGGCTGGGCTTGAACTCATGAGCAATCCTGTTGCTTCAGCCTCCCAAGAGCCGAGATTACAGACATGTGCTACCACACCTGATAAAAATGTCTTTTTAAGACATTTGTCTTTAAAACATCCTAGTTAGAATCCAAATAAGATTCCTGCATTGTATTTGGGTATTGAATTCCTGTCTGTTTTCTTTTGTGAAAAGCCTTTCTCTTTTTTAAGCCATTGGTTTCTTGGTGAAACTGGATTAGAGTTACATGTAATAATTAGTATTATTTAGCTCGCTTCTGTATATCTCATATTTTCTATAAGTAGTAGTTACAGATCTTTTTTTCAGTTAATTAGTACATGTGTGTAGTACATAAATACTTACACTCCTTGTGTGGGGTTGCTCCATATACCTCACACATCCTAAAACCTTTTTTTTTTTTCATCCCTTTCCTTTCCTTCCTCCCCCATCTCTGATCTCCTTCCTTTTTGGGGGGGATATATATTAATAGTATATCATTTTTATATTCCTGGTAGAGATCTGAAGGCTTGATGAGCATTATAGATTCTTTGAGGTTTGATGGGAATTAGATTCTTTGGAGGTTTAAGGTTTTTTTTACAAAAGTACTCAATGGATGTGTACTTTCTCATATATTATGAAGCACATGATGTGTGTTTTTCTCACTTTTAATGAAGCTAAAATTAATCAGTTTAGTTTAACAGGTGTTTCTTGTTAACATTCATTTTTCTTAATCTTCATAAGGCAGTACCATTTTAAGAAAATGCCAGGTTTTTAAAATTACATTTGTGGTTAACATAGTTGTTCTACTGTCTTCTATTTCTTTGGTGAAATAAACTGTCAATGAGTCCTTGATTGATCAATATTGCCTGTCTCTATCTGTTTTCATGAGAAACCACTTTGAAGATATCAATATGTAATACAACAAGCATGGTTAATTTCCTACCACTTTGTTTGCCACTCTGTATTGTCTGTACCGTTCCTTTGCTATTTTGTAAAAGGTTGTCTGTCTGTTATGTTTTCCTCCTTTTATTTTTAAAATAAAAAAATAAAAATAAAATAAAATTACATTTGTGAAACAGTAAGGAAAGAGAGGAAGTATGGGAAATGTGGTTCAAGGCTTCTGTTTCCTTACCTGTAAAATATATTCATTATATTAGTTTGAATTCCAATGCCCATTATAAACCAATGAAACAAATCTTACTGTTTCAGAGTATCTCCTCCTTTTCCTCAATAATAGCGGCTTTGAGTGTTTAACATTTTTCTTACACCACCTGTGGTTTGTTTTGTTTTGTTTTGTTTGTTTTTAACCAAGCTCCTTGGGTACCAGGCAGTGAAGTTAACTACTTTATAATTGATGTGTGTAACATGAATTGAGAAATACAGTACCAGAACTCAAACCCAGCCCACCTGAATTTCTATAATAAATTTCAAGTAACGATAATTAACTTTTAAAACAGGGTTCAACTACGCCAGTAACCGTTTTCAAAGGTTCAAAGAAACCATACTTAAAAGAATGCATTTTGATTATTAACCATGATACTGGAGAATGTCGACTAGAAAAACTGAGCAGCAACATCACTGTAAAAAAAACAAGGTAGGTGATTCAGTGAGATAAATTATTTTATTAACATATAAATGTCTAAGGAAATGTCAGGAAAGAAATCACACTAAAGTTGGGTTACTATGTAAGGTTATTTCTGCATGTTAAAAAATCTTTCAGTCTTTCACTTTAAAGTTTTTGAAGATCCCTAGCCAGATTTTATCACGTTGCCCTGAGAAGTATGAAAGCTTGTTTTGTTACTGAATGCATGCCATATGTATATCTTTTATTCTATTATAGAGGCTTTCACAGAATTGAACTGAAAGGAGCCATTTATATGTTCCAAAAAATTTCATCTTAGCTAGTAAAAATGTGTTTTCCTTCTAGATTATGTAAGGCACTGTAAAAATGAGTTTGTTATATAAACAGTAATCTCAAGACTTCTACATTTTAATCAGATTAACGGACCAATGAACAAGAAAGTAGAACCATCTCACATCCTTTTTGGAAGTAGGTGATGAATTATTTACCATGCAATATAAGGGCACTTGGTGTAAAAGCTGTAGGTACAAAATTGCTCTAAGAATTAAGAGAAGGGAGAGGTCATAATTGATTAGGACATTCAGAGAAACCTGATTGATGATGTGTCTTTAGAGGATTTTAATTAGGATCATAAAAACTACTTTGAGTGTTTATTAAAAATAAGCCCAAGTCCAACCTCAGCACACAGAAGGAGCTTGGAAAGATATTTGGTTTTTTGGTTTGTTTGTTTTGTTTTTCTCCTGGTACCAGGAATCAAACTCATGACCTTGTGCTTGCCGGGCAGGCACTTTGCCGCTGAGCTAAATCTCCAGCCCCAGAAAGATATTTGTTAATATCCCTTTATCTGTCCTTCCCCCATCTTCTTTGATTCACACCTGTAAACTCAGCTGGGTGGCTGAGGCAGAAGGATCTCAAGTTCATGTACATCAGAGGTAACTTAGGATTTAATGAGACCCTATTTCAAAATAAAACATTAAAAAATGGCTAAGAATGCAGTTCAATGTGAAGCTCTGGGTTCAATCTCCAATTACCACACACACAAAAGTTAAAATTGATCAGAAAGGTTACAGGGTTAAAGGAAATAAGTGAGGTTCGGAGGCAGAAATATATCCAACTTTTCAAGGCCAATGAGTATGACCTCTTTGAACAGAGCAGAGATTTTTCTCTTTACTTGGGTACAAATATTGGAAAGCAGGGGATAATGTTTATAGTGGTAAGGATGTTAGAGGTAAGGTTGTAAAAGTAGGTTGAGGTTAATACCTTCAATATTAACTCAGAAACTGGTACATTTTCTTGCAGGCAGTGGTTACATATTAAAATCTTTTTCACCAGGTGTTGGCATGTTTACGGTTCTGTTTTTGAAACATAGATGCAACAAGAAAACTAAATGAAACAGTGTGGAAACTAGGAAAATGTATAAACCAGAATTTTTGATAATGAACATTAAAAGTGAGCTCTTAAGGCTGGACATAGTGGTGTACACCTGTAATCCCAGCACTTAAGAGGCTGAGGCAGGAAGGTCACTGTGAGTTCAAGGCCAGCCTGGGCTATAGAGCGGCTTGTAGACCCACCTGATCTGCAAGGTGAAACCTGTAGAAAGACAAAAAAAAAAAAAGGTGAGCTGTTAAATATTTTGTGAAAGAAGAATTGTAGAGGCAGAGGTCAAGCATAATTTTGTTATACACTCTTATATTAAAGATGTTGAAAGAAAAGTATATGAATCTCATTTATTAACATGTCTGTCTTAAAATTATGAATTGGATTTGAATTAAAATCATGAGTGTGGGAGTTTTAGTTTTAACAAAAAATGATAAATTTAGAACTTAGAGAAAGCATTTTACCTGTTATACGCTTGCACTTTTCCTATTATTTTAGTCATTAGTGAATGTGTTATGTGCGCCATTTGAACAATGGTTTCGTTTTCATTCAGATTTGTACCTGTCACCTGATCTGTGTGCATGCCATGTATATAGTAGGTACTTGACAGAAACGAAACAAAACAAAACAAAAACTTGTTCAATGAAGTAGCGTTTTAATTCTTGACTATCATTTTAACAATTTCTAATGAAAACAGTAAATGGCCAAACTTAGTAAGTTTGTGAGTTGAAACTGTTACATTGCTGTCATAGTTGTTTTGATTTTTGAGATTCTTAATTACAGAGTTGAAGGAAGCAGTAAAGTTCACCATTATGTGGAACAGCAGCAGCAGCAGCAGCAGCAGCAGCAGCAGCAGCAGCAGCAGCAACATATGCGAAATTCAAGTAGGACTCCCAATTTTGTAAAGCATTCTCCATCTGAAGACAAGATGTCCCCGACATCTCTAATGGATGATATTGAAAGAGGTAAAATCTAAATGTATATAACGTCTCCTTTGTAAGTGATAATTAAGAAATATTAAGAAAAAAATTTTATTTTGATTAACAGTGAAATTAACCATATGTTTTTAATGAAAGCAGAAATTTTTGTAACAGCTTTTTCTGTGACAAGAGTGTAGGTTACAATTTAAAGTAGTATGTAAGTAAGGCTGTACCTGTGTAAAATAATATATCTTTTTATTATTATTCTCAGCATAATGTGACTGTGTTCTTGCCTACAACTAGAATTTTCTACTTTTTGGCAGCTGTGATTATTCATAATTGAATTTCCACATCTTCCTCCTGTCAAAACTTTATGTATAGCCAGCCTGTAGATGTTTAAGATGCTACCAACAAAACGGGGAAAGTGAGATGTAGTGAGCAGAAGCTGCAGGCCCATTTTCTGCATACTTCTCAGCAGAAAGGCATTTCTAGGGATGTACAATTTTTTTGGAAGTAAGAAAATTTAAATCTCCACTTTTTAAGCTACAGTTAGGATGTTGATATTATAGTAATTGTAGCAGCAGTGAGATCCCAGTCACAAAAATATATTTGCCACTATATTTTGCCTTCATAATTAGCATGTAGCTGTCCAATTCCTCTTCTAGTACCAGTACAGTATTCATTCTCTTATGGATTCGTAGTCCTTATACAAACAGTAAAGAAATCATCAGCTTAGAACCCTTGTTGTTAAAAGAGATCTTAAATTTTCTTTTTACATTATAACTGCTTCCAAAATAATTTTGAATCACGATACCATAATGAAACACTGGGATACAGAGTCAAGAGATTGCAGAGGAAGTTGAAGCAAATTTGCTTATTAAAATATTAAAGTTACCTCTGAGCTTCCTGGCCATCAAAATGAAGATACAAGGAGTATTTTATATTATCTAAGACGGGTTCCAAAAAAATCAGAATCTTCCTTCCTATTAAATCCTTAAAGGAATTCATTGTGTGGAACCTATTCTAGAAAGCATTAAAGTACATGGTAGTGTGCTCAACAATAATTTTATAGTGCAAGTAGAAGTTCCCTCATATGGTGGTTTTGTCACATGAACCTTAATTAAAGCATTGTCTTGAAGCAATGAAAAACAGAGTTGCAGAGGTAAGTAACATAATTTAATCATAAAATTTTCTTGTTCTAACTTTGTATAAAAATGGAACATTTACTTTAATATGTGTATATAACATATTCATTAGATTGTAATCTAAAAAATATTTTCTCAACCTCACCGTGCTATTGATAACTGCTAAGATGGTTGAATCATCTTTTCAAATTTATATTAGCAGTTTGTACTAGTATTTTTATACCTTAATTTTTACATTCATACTTTTGTTTTATCTGGAATATAAATTTAAGGAATAAGATAGAGTCTTAGAGGAGATGGAGAGTAGGGCTGAAAGAGCACTTAAAGAAGTAATGCCTGAAAACTTCCCAAGCTGATGAATGACTTAAACCCATAGATTCAAGAAGCTGAACAAATCTTAACGAACAAATCTTAACTACAATAAATCCAAAGAAATTCACACCCAGAGGTTTCACAATTAAATTTTTAAAAACTAAAGGCAAAGGTAAGATATAGAAGCAAGAGAGAAATGGCACATCAGATTTCTCAGCCAAAACCCAAGGTATGAGAAAGAAGTGTCAGAAAATAGATTTATGAGCAAAAGAATTGCTACATATGAGTACATTAATAATAATTAAAGGATTAATCTATTATGAAGACAAATATGTTTATATCTAACAGCAGAAATGGAAAATTCAAGAATCAAAAACTGACACAACTGAAAGAAGTATAAGAGTTCACAGTTAGGCTTAAATTATTCCTCCCTCTGCTCTCAGCAACTATTAATACTAATAGACAAAAAAATCAATAAGGATGTAGAAAATCTGAGGAACACGGTAAACCAATAGTATATAAATAACACTAGATGTAGCAGAATATACCTTTTTTTCAAGTGCCTCTTGAGTATTCATGAAGCTAGATCATATTCTGGGTTATAACAGAAACTGCAACACATGTATAAAAACCAAAATCATACAGGCTGTGGTCTCTCATCATAATAGAATAAAACTAAAAATTATTAATAAGCAACAGGAAAAATATCTAAGCACTTGGAAATTAGCATACATCTAAATGATCCATGGGTTTAAAAAGAAAAATCAAAGGAAATTAGAAATGCATGTAACTAATATATATATACTAAATACATACAAACATATATGAGATGCAGCTAAAGTAGTGCTGAGGGGAAGGGAGTATATTTGTGGTTCTAAATGTTTATGTTAGAAAAGAAAATTCCAGGGGCTGGGGACTTAGCTCAGCAGCAAAAGCACCTGCCTGGCAAGTGCAAGGTTGTGAGTTCGGTTCCCGGTACCGGAGAAAAACCAGAAAAAAAAAAAAAAAAAAAAAAGAAATAAAAAGAAAATTCCTACCTCAGGAAACTAGAAATAGGAAAGCCAATTCAACCTGAAAGAGAAGCAAGTAATAAAAATAAAAAGTAAACTGAATGAAATTGAAAACAGTAGAGAGACTCAATGAAGCAAAAGGCAGGAAGTCAAAAAAATTTATACTGTTAATAAACCTCTAGAAAGAGATAAAAAGAAAAAGATACAAACCACTAATACCAGAAATGTAATGTGTACTTCTATAACTAGGAAAGTCATGAGATTTGGGAGCCATTAAGAAGATTATAAAGGAATGTTACAATTTAATCCTCATTAATTCGATAATTTAAAGCTAAACTGCCAAAACTTAACCAAAATGAAGTAGACATCCTGAATATGTCTATTAATATCACAGAAGTTGAATTAGTAATTAAGTGCATGCAGAAAAGAAGTAGCCAAACCCAAATGGTTTCACTGGTGAAATCTGCCAAACATTTAAAGAGAATTACCACCAACTTTATATAATCTCTTCCAAAAAGTAAAAAAGAAGGTGCTGTGGTGGGATAAGTATCCTCCAAAGGCCCATGTGTTAAAGGTTGATCTCCCACCCAGGACACTATTGAGAGGTAGTGGGAACTTCACGGGGGGCAAGGTAGTAGGCGGGTTTTGGTCATTGGTAGCATGCACCTAAAGGGGATATGGGGACACCAGCCCCTGCCTCTTCCTCTCATTTCCCAATTATGAGGTGATGAGTTTGATTTGCTGTGTGTTCCCTGTTTATTTCTTCCTACAAGAGGCCAAAAAGGCAATGGGTCTGCCTGATCTTGGACTAAAATCTCTAAAAGCATGAGCCAAACTAATCCTTTTCCTTTTATAAGCTGATTACCTCAGGTATGTGTCACAATAATGGAAAGATAATACAGGAAAGAACATTAATAAGCTCATTTTATGAGGCTTGTAGTACCCTGCTATTAAAACTAAATAAACACAGTACAAGAAAAAAGAAAGCTGTAGCCCAGTGTCTCTTAAGTTTAAAATAAAAAATTCTCATCTGTAATTACCTCACTGTACAGACTGAAGTGGGAAAATCACAAGTTGGAGCCCTGTCTGGACAACTTAATGACTTAGAAAGACCTGTCTCAAAATTAACAACAACAAAAAAATTTAAGGGCTGGGAATGTAGCTTAATGTGAAGGCCCTGAGTTTAATCTTACATACCACACAAAGTTCTAAGGTAAATATTAACAGATCTAATATTATAGAAAAAAGTATGCAACATGACCAAGACAACAGTAATCTTTTCACATTGATTATATTTGAGTGCAGAATGAGAATAGGGAAAGACAAGTAATAAACAAGCAAGTACATATCCAAGTGAATTTCAGAAATGTGTCTTGCAGAAAATAAAGCAGGTAATGGAGTTTGGGGGAAAAAAGAATTCTTTGAGGAGGTTAAATTTTAATCTGAGAAGGAACTAGGCTTTCAGAGATCTAGAATCTCATCAGAAACACTTAATAGAGTAAGAAGACTACACATGAGAAGGAACTTAGTGGAAAAATTCACAATTCTAAAAAAGGTCGTATAACTAGAAGAGCTTACTCTAAAGAATGCTTATAACAGGAGAAAGATAAAAAAATATGAAAATGAACAAAATACTCAAATGGGTATTTCACATAAGATAACCAAGTAGCCAATGAGCACATGAAATATTGCTTCATATCATGACTTATCAAAGAAATGAAAACTAAAACTATAGTCACATACCACTGTATGCTCAAGTGACTTAACGTATTACGTGTGCATATGCCATGGTGGGGGAAGGTATGAATATCTGTAACTCTTATATATTACTAGTAGGAGTGTAAAACTACTTTGAAAACTGACAGTTTTTAATTAAATGAAAGTTATTTTTATTTTAAAACTCAATGATTTCTTTCTCCCAAAAAAAATGCAAGCATGTATTCACAAAAAAACTCAGGGGAGAAATTTCATAACAATTCTATTTATAAAAGCTAAAAACTGGGCCAGGCGTGGTGGCACACTCCTGTAACCCCAGCACTTGGGAGGCTGAGACAAGAGGTTCACTGTGAGTTTGAGGCCCGCCTGAGCTGCATAGGGAGATCCTGTCTCTCTCTCTCTCTCTCTCTCTCTCTCTCTCTCTCTCTCTCTCTCTCTCACACACACACACACACACACACCAAAAATAGCTAAAAACTGTGAAAAATAAATATCCATAAATAGAAAGTGGATAACCAACTTGTATATTTATAGAATGCAGTATCATAATAGTAGAGAAGAATGAGCTACAAATTCACTCAATAACTAAATGAGTATCAAAGCCATTTTGTTAATAAAAAGCTGGATACAAAAAGTACATGCCACGTGAATCTACTTAAATGAAGTCCAAGGACAAACAAAAATCTTTAGTAATGGAAATCAAAATGGTATTGGCTGGAGAAATGCATAAGAGAACATTTATAGGGATGGATCTTGATCTCAGTGGTAGATACACGAGCTATATGTGTACTAAAATTCATCTAACTGAATTTTGTTGTATGTAAAGTATGTATTAAATAACAAAGACCTGAATGAGGAATAT